TTTCCCCCCCCCCCCCCGTTAGTTTAAGCCCAGAAGTAGAATTAAAATGGGAAAGGGAATGAAGTAGGAGACTAATATTTCTTCAGCAACTTTTATGTGTCAGAAACTGTGCCATATATTCTCATGTAATCACCAGATGTAATCATTATCTCATGTAATCATCAAAAGTATTATCCTTTGTAATGATGACAAAAAACCTTAGATATATTAAGTAGACCCCCAAAGCCACAAGTAGAATAACAATAGAGTCAGGATTGGAACTGAAGCTGAGTTACTCCAGAAACCAACCTCTTTCTCTTATGTCAAACTATTTCTGTTAAAAGTGAGCAACTGTGGAGAACTGATGGCTGGGAAGAACTACTTATTGCCTGAACTAATGAATTAGCTGCAGATGTTTCTTTCTTTCTTTTTTTGCAGGACAGTGTGATGGTCCTTAGTGCAACCCATCGCTACAAGAAGAAGTATGTCACTACTCTGTTGTACAAGCCCATCTGAAGGAATCCCTTCTTGCCTCCAAGGGTTCAGGAGCAGCATCTCCCTCACCTTTCTGGACTCATCCAGTCTTGTCTGAGACTGGAAGGCTGATTTGCTTTGAGGCTGATGTGTGTGTTTCGGGGCCTCTGAGTAGGATGCCCTGCTTTTGCATTTGATTGCAGATGAGAGCCTTATGAGTTCATGGAATTTATTTTAAGAAAAAACATACATATACATATGAAAGAAAGGTAAACTGAAGCTTCCTAGCCCCAACTTGATGTATTCCCTCTGCCTATGGGCATTCACCAAGATCTATTTGGGGAACAGCAGGAATAACTATGCAGGATGTTTTTTTCCTCTGAAGAAAGAACAGCAAACTGTTAGGATCCTTGCTGAACACAAGATTCTATCCTGGTGACCTTGGCTTTCCAAGGGAGGGCTTGTGCTAGACTGCCACCCTACTCAACAGCTGTCTCATTGCAAGGGCAGCTTTTCTTGCATGGGTTCTCTGTATTTCCAGAGTACGTGCCACAATCTGTGTTTTTTATATAATAGCAGATGCCCCACAAGAACCCCTTTTCTGCTCATTTCACATTCTTCCCTTAATTGCCTCCTTCAGATCCCATGCCTGACCCCTCTCTAGTACATCACTCCTTGGATAAGTGACTCCTTTGAAAAACTGTATGGGACCTGACCCACCCAGAGACTAGTCTTCTTTTTAGCCCAGCACAGGCTCAGGCCAGTTTGTTCCTGCTTGTTTAACTTCTACTAAAGAAAATGTCTCAGCATTCTAAGAAAGGCAGAATACATCAGCTTTTTTTGTTTATGTTTGGTGCCAAGGCTTAGGCTGTATTGGCTTATTCCTGTATGCTTTCCCACTTGGCCTGGCCCTGCTTTCATCTTTTCTCTCTCAGAGCAGACAGCTCTGAAGGGAGAAGTGGAACCAGGGAATACTTTCATGTCTTTCATCCTTGAAAGATTTTTATGTGCCTACATTTTTCTTTAATTAATGCCTCTTAAGAGACTGCATTAGCCGGGCTCGGTGGCTCAGCCTGTAATCCCGTGCCTTTGGGAGGCTGAGGTGAGTGGATTGCCTGAGCCTGCGGGTTTGAGACCCGCCTGGGCAGATGAGACCTCATCTCTACAATAAATCAAAAAAATTAGTCGGGCGTGGTAGCGTGCGCCTGTAGTTCCAGCTACTTGGAAGGCTGAGGCGGAAGGATCGCCGGAGCCTAGCAGGTCAAGGCTGCTGTGGCCAGGAGTGGCCACCGCACTCCAGTCTGGGCGACAGTGAGACTCCAACTCAAAAAATAAAAATAAAAAAGAGACTGCATTGTACAACTTCAGGCTCTTGATGAATAGTTCTTATGATTTTCTTCTCTAGTCTAGCCCTCTGTAGTCAAACATTAATATGGCCAACCCTGTGCGTATCATTACACTAAAACTGTTCTAGATACAGGTTCATTCACCTCATTTGATGCAGCTAAAGGGTTTCTCTCAATTTGAAGGTTAGCCCAAGAAGCAAGAAAGTATTCCTGTATTCCCAACCATGAGAAGTATTGTTCTTTGCATTAAGTATTAGCAAGATCATTTTGTTCTTCTGCCTCTTTTTAAAGTTGCTTGATGATGAATGTGATCACTGATTTCCATTTGAGGACTGAAAAGTAGCTATCCACTTTTGGGGTTCCGAGATAAAACATTTTTTCCAAGTATCTGTGACTCTTCATTTTACAGATAAGAAGTCAAACATTCAGCACTGAAGGAGGCCAAACTCTTGATAATTACAAGATTTCTTGACTGCTAAGATGAGCCCAGCCACATTGAAAGGGCACCTACAGGTCAGTTTAGCTACCTCCTGTCTTTCCCATGCAAAGTTGGCAACACAGTTGTCTTTGGGCATGTAGACCTCTTGGATCCCAGGTGTGAAAGAGTAAGGTGTGGGGTTATTATTTTACAGGGATGCAAATTATTAAGTCCTTTGGTGGTTAGCTGCTGAGAGTTAGTACTGCTTTAGCCATCCAAGGCCACCTTCTGCAGCTGAAGGCTTTTGTGGAGAAGCTTTTATGGTCCCAACCACTTTTTGAATGGTGTTCCATTTAAGTAATCCAGGCCAGATCCTATTATAACCAACTCTCAGGATTTATATAGTCTTCTAGTTGTACTATAATTTTGTTTTTATCCAATACCCATTAAATAAGTGGGCCATTTAACAGGATTCAAGATCTTGGTTGTTACACGGAGAAGTTTGTTGTATTCATATTTCTTGTCAACAGTATTGAAATGTAATTATCACTGTGTTTATGTGTTAAAAATTCTACTTACACAGGTATATCAGTAGAGTGGGAAGAAAAAGAGATCTCTTCAATTTCTCAGGCCAGAGGCTTCTCTGAATTGGGTCTGGCTCCAATGACAGTAGGTTTTGGTGTTGGTGACCTTCACCTTTCTAATGTGGAAGTGTGCAGTGTCAGTTTCTCAAGTTCTGTGGTAAACTCTGAGCCAGATATGAAATGGAAGCCTACCAACTGGTAGAGAAGGGAATGAGTAAGAAGATGGGGTAATGACTTATTCAATGCCATCCCTTTTCTATACAGCAAATACATCCCATGGCTCTAGAAGCCCTATCTCAGCTGTCGCTGCAAAGTGTTTTGGAGGAGAGAGAAGAAGGGAAAAAGGTAGCTCAAAGTACACAACTCACGCATCCTTTTATGTTTTTTGGTTAAAGGGATGGTTTATTTTATACAGAAGAGAGTTTGGCAGATTTTGAAAATGAGTAAAGGCAAAATAAATTTTTTTAGCTTTTTTTTTTCTTTTGTCCATTGGAATCTCAGAGAGTCAAAGTTGGCAGAATAAAAAATAACTCCTCAGGAATGCTGATCCTTAAGGAACTGCAGCATGGTTTTGAGATTGTGGGGAAAAGAAAGCAGAGTGACTGAGCTGAAGAGTGAATTTAGGAAAATAAAGGCTTAAGTAACTCAGAACTGAAAATATCCTCTTAAAAAAAAATAAATAAAGGCTTAAGTAACTCAGAACTGAAAATATCCTCTTAAAAAAAAAATAAATCAGACATAACATGGTGGTGTCCTTGGATCATTGTACAGAACATAGCAGTATGTAAACAATGTCCCTTTGCCTCTTGTTCCTGTTTCTCTACCCATTTTTCTGCTTTAACTTCTTTTGTCAGACAGACTTTACCAGACTCTCAAGTCAAACATTACCTAAAACACATAGATTAGTCACCTTTCTGATTTTGAGAACTTCGACACCATGATTTAAGCTTAGAATTGAATGAGATTTAACCACTGTAGGCAACATTCCTGAAGAGTATGACTAGCCTCAATAGTGTTGGCTTTTTAAACATATGCTTATATGGTAGAGAAACTCTGTAAAAGAAGACTTCAAGACGAAATTTCTGAGGATCCTACAAATTCAGGCCCATTAACTCTTCTCTAATTATTTCTAGTCTCTTCTCGATCTGGGATAAAACCTTTGAAAAGTATCAATACTTCTGTTTGCTGCTAAAATGAAGTTAAACTTGGAAAGAAGTGATACCTTCAGACTAGGTTTATATTAACCTGGGATATAAATGAAGGAGACATACTTCTCTGCTTTTAATTGGGGAAATAGGGCTTTTAAAATTTTGACCTCAACTAAAAATGATATGCAATAGTGTGTGTTTGTGTGTGTTTGACATACATTCTATTCTCAGCGATTTCTACATCCTCACGCTCTCGTGATTTGGGGCATGGGCTTAACAGCAGATGTACAGCTTGTTCCTGTATTATTCTGATTTATCCTTAAAGCCCAGTTCTTGCTGTCTTAATGTAGGTATACCTTGACCATCTGATCTGACACCTACAAAGTTCATAGAGTATTTAGAGGCTGCTGACTCCCATGGGATGGAGGACCTGGGAGGGGTAGTAGTTAGGGTATTTCAAAACTGTGGATCTAAGCTTTTGTCTCTCCTTAAGTGCCAATCACAATTGGAGATTGAAGGACAATGAATTCTGCAATGAACCCAAACTTTTGGAGTGAAAAGCCAAGTTTTTAAAATTATTAAGAAGGAAGAAAAGAAAGAAAAACTCAAGTCTGTTACTTGTAGAATCCAAATTTTAGCAATAGAATCCCTCTGAGATTCTAATTTGGGCTTTGTCTTGATTGCTTTTCTCAGTTGTGCTTTGAAATTAATATGCTTCATTAAAAAATAATTTTTTGTTAGTTCCAACATTAGTTGGAGTTAAATTGAATGAATTATGTGTAGCACAGTACTTTTGCTGTAAGATTGGTGTAAAATACTAAATACTCTATGAACTTTGTAGGTGTCAGGTCAGATGGTCAAGGTATACCTACATTAAATAATATATTAGGTATTGATCATCTTATTTCTTTTCTGTTTCCCTCTACAGAACATTTACCCTACCCAGCTTGTGGTTTTAGGACAGCCAGAGCTCACTCTTATTGGTTAGTCCTAATCTCTACACTGGGTCCCATTTATGAGACTTGTTTGAATTTTGGTAAATTGAAGGACATTGATTAGTATTACACGGAAACATTTTGAATGAGTACAGCTCTGTGTCCGTCAGAAAGAAGGGATAGGACTATAATTTGAAGGAGTTAAATCTGTCAGCGTCTTCTTTTAAATGGTGCTTTTTGTGACCTTTAGTGCTGAGTTTTGGAGCTGCTTTTCAATATTTCACAAAGGAGTGACACACAAGTATGGATTTTAAAGCTTTTCTCCAAATCTAATTGTCACTGACTCTTGATATGCCTGAAAATTACATGATGTAACACATACGGAGATGTTGTGAGTTCTTCCATAAAACTGTTTAATAAAAGTATTATACAGCAATAGTATTTGAGTTACTTATTGATTAATGATTATATTCTGACGATCAGTGTGTCTTGGTTGTCTCAGGACCTAAAGAATATACATTGCCAGACAGGCACCTTTGAATAAGAGAGAAGTTACAGGTGTAGGACATGCAAGTGATGTAGAATCCAACTTTTAGCAACTGTCACTTTTTCTCTTTTTGTTTCAGCTATGCCAACATTAACTAGAGGAATGCAAACTCAGTGATTTGATTTTCAGCAGCTTCTCTGACTCTCAGCTATCATCCTCTGCTGGATTAGCTGAGATCTTAGGCCAGTGATTCTCATCCCTGGCTGCACATTCTTATCACCTGTGGAGATTTTATGAACATATTAATGCTGGTCTACTTCCACCCCAGTTAAATGGAAGTCTCTGGTATGGAGTCCAGGCATTTGTATTTTTATATTCTCCAGAAGATTCTTATGTATATCTAGGATTGTGGACCACTATCCTGGACCTTTCCTAATTTTCTTTCTTTGTCAAGTCATTTGCTTCACTGTATATGAAAATCTATATATTTTATTCTGACAACAAATCACTTTCCTCAGATGTTCTTATTCAGGGGCATGAGTGCAATATAATTTTTGTTTGCCATCCCTTTATTTCACATAGCTGGCTTTAAGTAAAATTTCACATAGCTGGCTTTATTTTTTAAAGAAGCAGGCTTTTTTTTTTTTTCCTATATTTCCATCCCTTTATTTCATATAGGGTTTTTACATAGCTGGCTTCTGGACTTTCTTTTACCAAAACAACCAAAGTTCTCTTGTATTTGCT